TGATGATGGTACTCAAGAATATTAGGGGCAGATCAAAATTCTCGTCGTTAGTTCACAAAAGCTGTCACTTCAACACTAACCTGCATATGTACAAACTCCGTTCAGCTCATTGTGAATATCCTACTTAAGAACTTCGAGGTATCTCTTAACTTCTGTGCAATCTCCAAGTACACTCATATTTTCTTTGCTGTAAACAATTCAAAAAATTCACTTTTTCTCTCAAAACACATCATTTTGAATTTTTCTTGATTTGAAAAGTACTGCAAAGTCTCCAAGTGTACTAATCCCTTTTGGACTGCACGGAGGGGCAGCTTACAGACATCTGACATCGCGCGTTAGGGTGCCCAGTGTGACTTGTTGGAACGCAAAATAGCATTGGACATCACACAAAGTTAAGACGGTCACACATTTCCCTAAGTTTGTTTACCTCTTTTATCTTTCCAATTAGTTCGGTTGGAGGGTGGAAATAGAAGCAATAGAATACCTTCGAGCTTTTCACTCCAGTTGCATGTATTGTCACACTCAAAATCTAAATGTGAACAGTGCCGTGTCCTTGAATCACACGGAACTGGCGTTTCTACTCTGCAGATTGCTGTGGTATGTGGGTGAAGTTTGTAGCTAACAGGTATTCGTCCCCAGGTATTTGTTCCACTTATCATGGCATCGGATAAGATAATAACTTGGAATTTCACAGATATGGGTATAATATGCGGATCCGTAACAATCAGACCGTATTTTCTTGGGCATCCGTTGTCACAACGACAAATATCATTATAATCCTACGCATACTAGTAGCTTTGCCATGAAAACCGAAATGTGTGGATTAGTTTTTCCTCATTTTTCGGAATGTCGGTGATGTCGTGGAACAAGTTAGGCTTTACGTTTAGTACCAATTTCTAGTGACCTAAAAGTGCAACTGCTTTTGCAACTCTACCCGAAAATATGCATTAAACCACTAAGTGAAGCAGTGCTTTCAGTTGAGTTTAAAGGATTTCCATCATAAGACAGACTCTGGAGACAAGAGATTCAGAATTGTTCCGCAAAAAGCAGTTAAAACTGAGAATCTGTCATTAAAATCCCCTTTTCTATGATATGTATAATGATTAGATTTTAGTGAAGAGAAGCATTCTGAAGAATTCGTCATGACTATGTATTGATATTGTATTGAATCTTCTCCCATTCACCGTAGAAAAACTGGATGAATGGAAGCAACTTTTTTGCTGAAAATTATTCAGCAGCACAACCAGATGCCATGAAACAGTTCGTTGAGCTCCTACTCACTCGTGATTAACGTGGAAATTGGTAGGTTACTTGAAATACTAGTTATATCAATGAATTCCCTCACAATACGCCGTTTCATAGTCACCTCATTTGTTTGTGAGAGGTTGTCCACCTATGAAACGAAATACTGTCTGTTTGTTTATTTGTCCTTTGCAACAAAAATTTTAATCAATATTTATCGGATATAAGATACCTGTTTGCGGATTTACGAAAGCGGGGCGGCGTTCCGATATCCTGGCCATGTTCAAAACTGTTGGAAGAAAAACAGAGTTATTTTGTTAACAGTCGAATCCAGTGGCCCCAAGTAAATTCACTCACTGCGATGACCTTGGGCTGGGTGATGATTTTTGCGTCAAACGCTCATTCCGCCCTGTATGACTTGTAGCTAATACAGGGTTTGGCTTGAACAGACTCTCAAATTCAACGCAACGTAACAAACAAAAGGGTTGAACTCGGAACAATTCTGAAGCAGTCATACGTTTGTTTTGTGTCCATGTTTACGCTCAAAACACTAATTGGCGTGAAACCTTTCACAAGTGGCCCGACCCAATATTGTAGGATGGTCGGAGCGCATCATTTTGTCCGTGTTGAGTTGCGTATTGCGGTCTATACATCTCAAAATACTTGTTATTCAAACTCAAAAACTTCTAGTGAGAGCATTTTGTTATGGATCAGAAATACACAGGTATCGGCTCTGCTTACCATCCCACTTTTAAGACATATTGCTCAGAATGTTTAACATCCTGTTTGAAATAGCTTAAGGGTTGGATTTGAGAGTGGAGATATTTCTGTAATTTTTTGGAGAATTAAGAAAGCTTTGTGAAACCGGTTTTTATTGTCACCAGGCATTCCAGTACTTTCCCTGAAATTGTGGAGAGACAAAACATGACGAAAGATTGATGTTATGACTCTGGTTATTGAATCAAACAGCCTGTTGAAGTCCTTTGGTTCCAGTGCCCTTCTAAATCTTTGGCACTTAACAGGAATTGTGAACCAAATAGTCTCTGACGTTGTTGATCCAATTTTTGGAATGTAATTTTTGGTAGCACTAGACTAAACTCAATGTCGGAACGCAAATTTAAAGTGGCCATAATAATCAGTAACGAACCAGCTCGCGCCTAACCATTTGACTCGTAGCCCATATGCTACTGAAGTAGTCTTCTGATTTAGGATTTCCGAGTGCCGTGTACTTAAGGGGCTCCGACGTGTCTTGGTCGCCCAGTAGAGTAAAAACGGCATAACCAGATGAAACAACCACCACACAAGCCACAATCCACACAATTCTTAAGCCACCAGAACCATAATCTGAAAAGTATATGACGGTTAGCAGTGGCCAATTTACTGAAGTCCTCCAAAATCAAGTGAACCAAACAAGTTTTACACAAATGAGATGCTTGCACGTCGCTGTCTCCGATGTAAACGAACAAGATCAATCTAAATGGAAAAACAAACAAGTTTCTCGAGAACCATCTGCTGGCCCAAGCATGGTAGCATAACAACGAGTGAGAGCGTATTTCTTTTTTACTCCATGGCGAGTTCTTGGCAGTGGATTCCTTCAGATTTCAAAGGTATGCTGTATTTTATGGACAGATAATTATACCGGGGCTTTCTGGATTCACACTATCGTACTATTTATATGAAAATGGATACCCGGGGAGCAAACCAGATGTCGGGCGGCTCTTTGTTAATATCGGAAATCTCTTCGCTGCTGTTATCTATTACTAAACACGAAATAGGCAGTTACAAGCCATCAGACACGGAAGTAAACATTTCATATGCACATAGTTTCTAAAAACTGAACATTCGCACGCGTTGTATTCAATTTTCACTATCAAACAAAAGTAAACGAACCGTAGAAAACAGCTCTATAATTTCTGTAATAAAACTTTACCTTTCATCAGATGTAGTGCTGGTGCTTGGAAACCAGACCACAGACTACAGGCATGCATCATCAGCATTATACACCATCACACTACTGTCATCTCGGAGCATAACTACAACCTGGTTATTCCTGATAAAAAACTGGAGTAGACTTCTTTGAGTGGATGTCGACCAGCAATGAGAGAATCTTAACTCGGTAAATCTCTGGTTTTTCTGTGATGACTCAGAATGAGTAAGTTGATAACTGACCAATGAGCTTTGGTTTGTGCGACTACATCTGCGATTCGCTCGGTAAAATGAATTCTTGGCTTCAACAACAAGGTCGTGGTTACTCTAAATGCATTTTGCGGCCAAAAGCGGCAATTTATCCATTTATGATTGATTGCGCTATAAAAAGAGTACTGTTGAGGTGGCGGAAATCTCTGTAACTCTACATATTGCAGCCTATATTTTCGGAACAACATGATTTGTCTTGTAAACCCCTCGTGGCGATGGGATAAACAACCAGTTATTTAGTAGGATTTGTGTTTTTGTCAAAAAGATGGATTGTTATACCAAACGCCATGGCCATCCGCTGCAGTTCTGTATTCGGTAATGCAAAAATAATGCAGGGGTCCTCATTCAGTGGCAAACAAACCTATGAATTGTGTGGTATCGTCGTGGCTATGAGGCATTTTCCTATACTGGGTCAGAATGCCTTCTTCAGGATCAATAAAAAACCCTGCATAGATCGCAGTCAGGTGTGAGGACGATGTTTAGGTATTTCTGTGGATCGTTCTTCAAGTCAAAAAATGGTACGATAGTGATTGGGTAGAAATACTTCGTCTTAAACCGCTGACCCACCCGGTTCAAATATTTTAGCAAATACTATCTCTTTTCGGCAGTCTTTTGGTCTTGCACCCCAGTTATCACGCTTCAAAGTCCATATTCTTTAGGCAAGTTAGACGAGTTTATCTTAACGGGAAGTTGGGACAACTGTGCATGGCAGTATAAATATAGGTTGGATTGTTTGCTAAGCAGCATTGATAAGTGCGCCTTCCGGGCCGCAACTATGTCTTTGGATCACTGGTGGAAGGAAGTTCTATAGCCACACAAGTCATAAGTAGACGTCGATTGTTTACTTTCATAGCCCTAATTCTGAACAGTATTTCTGCTTGTGAGTGAAATCTGATTCGGAATTCGAGGGCATCCACGAGAAAAAGGTGATTAGTGAGTCGAATGGACATGATGTTATCTATCCGTTACTGGTGAATTCCATCTCCTCAGCTTCTAGGTTAAACATCTTAGAAGTGTACATGCTGACAAAAGAAGCGAAAAAGTTTTGAATTGTTGAGACCGGGTGACTAGTACACTCTCACTAGTATACTCTCTTGTTCCTATTCATTTGTTCAGTCACTGTCAATCCATTTTTCCATCAACCTCCAGCTTAGCTCCAAGGCAAGAGAATGTATATTCAGCCGCTTGGATCTTCTTTGATCGGACCACCAAATTTGGCGGCTTTGTGGATACAGAAGCATTTCAGTCCCTCAAACACAAGTGTTAAGAAAAGTTCTAAAGTTCCACACCAATGTCAACATGTCTTTAAGGTTCTTTTCTGCTTCCTGTTCGACAATTTTGGCTGTTCATGACCAAACCTTTTGTGCAATGCTGTAGTGGCCTCCGCTCCCTGAAGCAGCTCTACGAAGTCTGACGTCCTAGTCTAGAACACATGATTATCCAGACGTCTAGCTTGACTACGCATGGAGGAATAATCGTCTGTCTCTCAATTTTGCCGCGTACTGAAAATTCACTCTCTGCAATACCGGATCCTCAGATTTTACTTTTTTTATTTTTTCCAGAAAATGGGCCGGTATTCGTAGTCAACAAATAACTGTTAGAGTAAGTGGAGTTTACGCTCAGTCTTTTACACCTTCTGTCTCGGGTGAACTTTCTGATCTCCTAATAAAAACACCAAGCAGTCTTCACACTCCTGTCACTCAGGACAGTACGAAGTTACGCCTAGGCAACCTCACTACAACTGTTTGCAGCATAAGAACCCGTTGTTTTTTGTCTGGCCACTCTTCTTTCCTTGTCCTCCGGGCAAGGCAAAGCGAAGATAAGAAGAATAAGGTTCCAGTCAGTGCAACCTACAGGAACGTTGTACCAATAAAGTCCGACTACCACGACCACCTGATAGATTTTAGCCAAGGCAATTCGCGTAAAGTTATTCATGATATAACGATGACCATGGCTCCACTTCAAAGATGCCGTTAATTGAGGAGAACCGACCAATATATTGCTGCTGGCCGATTCAGCACATCCAAATAATAAGATGAATCAACTGAGAATCAATAAGCCCTGGTTAAGAAGGCCTTTGGGGTATCATATATTCATCCTCCTAAGACAAATGTGGTTGTACGCAAATACGATTATTGAAAAACGTGTAAAATGTGTTATATTCTTGATCCCAAAATATTTTACTGTTTTGTGTGTTTCATTAATAAGCCTTAGACTCGGTAAAAAGCATTTCGCTGTGCACTGCGTTTCCATCGCCAGGCGCTTAGTAGACAAAATGTTGCTTGGTAGTGAATCAAAGAAGTTCAATATTTCTGTATTTCCTGGCCTGATATGTGAGACATTCTTCCCCACCTTAATCAGTCGCTCTGCTGAAAGGATCGCATTGTCTGACCATTATCACCTAATATTTTAGAGGTATTTTGACTTCCTACCTAGATTACGAGCTACTGTCACGGTTGCAGAGCAGCGCGTCCCTAATGTTCGTACTACTTGTTGCTTTCTGCAAATTTGAAATGCCGTCTTCCAGGTCATCATCATAATCCATATTTTGAGGACAGAACAATCATTCCGTTCCATATTTTGGTCGCAAGCATTTTGAGCTTATTTGGTCCACAACGTGTGTAGAAGACAGCAGGGTATTTATTGTTTTCCAGGTGTATAGTAGGTGAGGTGGTGTGCGAACTATTTGTCTGGAACTGTGCATATTGGTGTTACAAGCGCCGGCGTTCTTAGCACGCTGTTATTTTGTTTCAGAAGGATTGCTTCCATTGGCTGAAATAAAATAAAGTCAAGTAAAATGAACTTTGAAACTTACTGCACGTTTTGCCGTAGTCGACTAAGGTGAACGGTACGGAAAACACGACAGCATGGGTAAAATATCACCACTTAATGAGCTCCCTGAAAGCAATGGACTCACATTTCATTTGTCGGTTACTCAAATGCATTCAAAATCAGAAAGTAATATTTTTCGAAATAAAGGTAGCCCGATACCAGGGACCCAAAAGCAAAATTCTTGGAAATTCACTCTCAAAGATAATCTGCGTAATAATATAGGTGAAGGATAACCGAAATATCTCTACTGCATGCATGACCAATTAAAACCTTTTACAAGGACGGAACAAACGCTTTAACATGATATTGAAAGTGCGCCGCATTGTTGATATCAACTTCAGATACTCACTCGCAAGTCAGTAATAGTTACATAGGCCATGTTGCATTCTACTCTACTCGTTCTTAAGTAGAGGCAATTTTGCTGACGAAGTGATACAGAATCCTGGAAGACAAACAGATTACCCTTAACATCCGGGCAGCAAAGGATCCACAGGACGACTGGGTCACGCGTCGTAAACACTCAAATCAAGTAACAATTCCTGTTTCCTCCAGAGGGGGTAGACGACCTCAGCATTCGCTGGTAACCAGTGGTGGGCCCTTGCGTACAGTCAACGAATGCTGCTTGAACCGACACAACTTGAGGGAGTGCAAAGCAAGATCAGTCAAGAGAGCGTTTTCTGTGAATGTTTAGCTATTCCGGCTCGTACCAAAGCAGTTGAGCTGATGCAGCAAACGCAAATATTAAATGACAGTTTTATCCGCTACATGCAGCAAAAGATAGCTGCTAGCATCATCAATGTTGGTTTTCCCCATTTTGAGCAGGGCCTGTCTTCCACGTATTTCCACCCTGTCAATTGTCTCACACGCAACTGGACCTCACAGCTTCGGATTTGAATCGCTGCACTATCCAAGCAAACCAGTCAAATCTGGTCGTTGCGATTACTACGGTTTGAAAGCGTCATCATGCTAGTTGATGAGAATTGGTCTCCAACCTAGTTTACAACTTTATTAAAATGAAAAAAGCTGCAAGGTTTGGGGTGATGAAAAGTGGTTTGTGCGTTGTCGGTGGTTGAGACCTCTGACTCTCTACATGGGCCACATAAGTTGCAGGATCGGTCGAAAGATGGAGCTCTGAACTAAAAACATTACTTAAAATACGGAGAGTCGTGTCAAAAACTAATTTTGCTGGTGAACAGTGCATGGAGGCACGAAACATGGTACGCAGTTAGTGAGGCTATTTTGTGCTCGCAAAGCGGTCTTCAAATCTCGATGAAATCGTTGCACTAGACTATCTGCTTGAGGATGGTATGTGGTGGTGCGATTGGTGGAAGATCAACAGGGACAACTTTGGTGTTGAGTTTTGGTAGAACTGAAGGCGAGGGAATATCTGACAATGAATGAGTGTCACGTCAGTCTCACCAATTGTCGGTAATCTGGTTATAACCTGATTAGGTTTAATTATCAGGAAGTGACAAGCACTTACAATTAAATATTTAGGCAGTGGATGTGGGCGGTATATAGGGATAACTGCGCCGAAAACATTCATTACCATCGGTAGTTAAGGGAAACTATTTGGAAAACAGGTATCGGTTGAGGAAATAAATGCAGTCTTCGGCTGACAGCGCAACGCAGCAGCTCGTGTCATGTGTCAAATCCGGAAGCGCGCCTAACGCCGTCTGAAATGTAATCCTAACAAGGACTATCGGATAAGACGCGATACGAAGGTCATGAAAAAAACAGAACACTGGAGAAGCCGAGTTTGCAAAACGGAGAGCGCACTAGTCTCCCATAAATAGATAGATAGATAGATAGATAGATAGATAGATAGATAGATAGATAGATAGATAGATAGATAGATAGATAGATAGATAGATAGATAGATAGATAGATAGATAGATAGATAGATAGATAGATAGATAGATAGATAGATAGATAGATAGATAGATAGATAGATAGATAGATAGATAGATAGATAGATAGATAGATAGATAGATAGATAGATAGATAGATAGATAGATAGATAGATAGATAGATAGATAGATAGATAGATAGATAGATAGATAGATAGATAGATAGATAGATAGATAGATAGATAGATAGATAGATAGATAGATAGATAGATAGATAGATAGATAGATAGATAGATAGATAGATAGATAGATAGATAGATAGATAGATAGATAGATAGATAGATAGATAGATAGATAGATAGATAGATAGATAGATAGATAGATAGATAGATAGATAGATAGATAGATAGATAGATAGATAGATAGATAGATAGATAGATAGATAGATAGATAGATAGATAGATAGATAGATAGATAGATAGATAGATAGATAGATAGATAGATAGATAGATAGATAGATAGATAGATAGATAGATAGATAGATAGATAGATAGATAGATAGATAGATAGATAGATAGATAGATAGATAGATAGATAGATAGATAGATAGATAGATAGATAGATAGATAGATAGATAGATAGATAGATAGATAGATAGATAGATAGATAGATAGATAGATAGATAGATAGATAGATAGATAGATAGATAGATAGATAGATAGATAGATAGATAGATAGATAGATAGATAGATAGATAGATAGATAGATAGATAGATAGATAGATAGATAGATAGATAGATAGATAGATAGATAGATAGATAGATAGATAGATAGATAGATAGATAGATAGATAGATAGATAGATAGATAGATAGATAGATAGATAGATAGATAGATAGATAGATAGATAGATAGATAGATAGATAGATAGATAGATAGATAGATAGATAGATAGATAGATAGATAGATAGATAGATAGATAGATAGATAGATAGATAGATAGATAGGAAGTTTAGCGAACAGAGGAATAGTTGGGCAAAGTGAATGTTGAATCTCCTCCACCGTCACTGATTGTCGCCAGGGGGTCGTGCATTTTTAGTTCCTTACCTGACCCTGGGCCATGTGCAACTCTCTCTCTTCTTTCCCGGGGCTATGCATCAGAGCTAAGTGGAATGTAGCAGACATCTCCAAATGGTTCATCTCTAGAATTATAAAGGCGTGTTAGTTTTGTGAAAATGGAGAACCCTTTGTCCAGCTGCCTCCAAGTAAGCACCAGATCCCCTATGGGTTCTCACATGTTACAGCCAAGGGAAACAGCAGCAGACGAATACTCTTCTAGTTGTGTAGTTTTAGATGATAGATTAGATAGATAGATAGATAGATAGATAGATAGATAGATAGATAGATAGATAGATAGATAGATAGATAGATAGATAGATAGAAGATAGATAGATTAGATAGATAGATAGATAGATAGATAGCAATTGTGTTCGATTTTTTTGGTGATTTTTCTGATTTGCAGAGTATGTTAGGGAATGCCACATGTGCATCATTGTCAGGAGCTTTACATCTGGACAGTCTTTCATCCCCTATTCATCCTGTCTCGCTTCCGAATCTTGATGTATAGTTAAATTGGCAACGGTGGAAAGGACTTGAAAATCCAACGCGACATAGCATTACATATAGGGACAGGCACTCAACCAACTTAGTGCAGAAGTGTGGGACATATATTCGGAATTTAGGCTTCGGCACAATTTTTGGGCGATGACTAACCAAAAAATATTCGTATCCATTAACCACAAGAAATGACGGAGAAATATAAAAGGGTATCAGGAACTCGGGTACAGGTGATAGAGCCAATGGTGGTCGATGATAGCAAGAGTTGATCTGTTTGAATTTGAAGTGCATCGCTCTCATACAATGAGAGATGATTTTACAAAGCTTGGAAATACTTAGATTTATCACAAACCATGTGTCCAAAAGCATGCGGCAATCTTCTATGGTTAACCGGTCTGCAATTCGTGACATTCTGTACCGCTTCTGAGTAAACTCTCTTAAAAGTGACTGAAATTTAAACTTAATTTAGGAAATATCCCTGTGCCCCAAAACTAGTGTTTTGAAAACAAAATAAAAACGCTAAAGACGCGATACTTCATTCATAGGGTTCCTGAAAATTCTTCGACAGCCCACGACCGGTTTTGCCCTTCCAGGGGCTCATGAGGCACAGTCCCTCAGTTTCCGTCAACCTTATGTTCTAGGTGGGTTCCGGGTGAGTCTCTCAAAAAACCAAATTTGTTTGCAACTGAGTGTATTTCTCTAAAATAAAAATAGGTTTAGTAGTGATGGTTTCTGCAGTTAACTTGATATCACTATCACGAATAATGCTACAGTGATTGGGCGACTAGATGTAAATGATCAGCCGGGCATTACAAGGTGGATGTTCTGAGTATTGTAATGTAATTTCCTCCAAAATCTCAGATGTATGGTTGACTCAGATAAACCATAGTTTTAGGCTCTATCAGTTTCAAGATTAAAGAAGGTTTGAAGTCCACGTACTGATACAAGATCAGTGTGTAGATGGAGCGCCATGCGCTTCACCCACCCTGTCTTGATAACTTCTTACCATGAAGATCAGTATTCAAGTAGATTTTGCTGTACTTTTTTCGTGCATCGACTCTTCTTCCTGAACCATTTTCGTTTGACATCGCATCATATCGCGCCACAGTTATAAGGTACTTGCGAGGCTGACTGTATAATGTGAGCACACAATGTCTTCTGCATTCGGGTTATGCGGCTGGCAATGAAGAACATTTTAACTCACCTATGGACACTTTAATTTGCACAAAAACAAGAACGTCCTGCTAAGTGATGGAAAACGTATCATTACAAGAGCTGCGCGAACATAAACAAACACAAAACAGTAAAAACAACCATAGACAAAACACAAATTAGTAACAACACCTTCAGGCAAACATTTGTAGTTGCAAGATAACGTGAGCTGGTATTGACACCAGCGGAATGATAGTATTCACAGTAAAGCTTACAATGAGAGTGATCAGAACTACGGTGATACCGGTGCTGCGCATAGTGGTGATGATGAGAATGGCGACGATAATGATGATGGTGACAAATATGAATATTTCGAGCCGGCTGTACAAGTCAGTTTTGTTTTGCTTACGGGTTGACAGCAAACGATAGCAATGCATTGCATGCAGTAATTTTGATACCAAACCGCAATAGGCTGCTTGACGCAAGCATATCTATCTCATTGTACAGTTTCCATCAATGAAAGTGCCAGCTAACAACGTAACTGAGTTGACTGGTAAGGACCTTCATGCTTCGTTGCCAGGTCTTGGAATGACAGTCCGTGGGTTGTCTACATCTGATACCAAACTGGGCGAAGGAAGCATTTCAAGGCAAATGGCCTTCTGGCGTGCGATGCGTGAGCTTTAACTGGCGTGGCCTGTGTGGTGTGACTATTTGGTTTATCGAGGGGGAATGCTCCCACCAAACCCACTGTCTGACAAAGAGGGCCTTTGAACGTCTCAAAAACACAATGGGTAAGTCTCCAAGTCATAAAGTAGGACAGACGCATTGCGGCATTTTCCAATATACCCTTGACAGCCAAGCTGATATCACGTCAGTGCCACAAATGTCGGAGTTTAGAAAACGCCGGGCTGACCTTCCCAATTCAGGAAGCGGTTCTGTCCTCCGCTAGCCCACCGTGATGTATGCAGCTGTCCACGTAGACCTATCTGCCAAATCCACCACTTCACCTTCAAGAATGGGGTTTGGGTTTGATCCCAAACAGTTTTGCAGCAGCACTTAACAGATCCCAGGTGTGAAGCTATTGCCGAACTGTGCAGTTGAATTATTTACGTTATTTAAAATATTTAGCCATTCTAAATCCAAGAAGTGCGATATCATCTGGGTACTCGGTATCCACGAACGGTCGCCTCAGGATTGTTTCGGTTACTGATGTTTTAGAGGTAGGCAAAAAGGAAGCAAAGATGCACATCGCTTATCAGTTTAAAGAGAGGAAGCAGTTCAAGATATCACTGAATAGGGTAAACTCAGAAAAGAATTAGCTACAGCCACGTACAGCTTCACATGAGGAGGGCATATAGAGGCTTTAAACGAGACAGGAAGTAAGATGTGACACCTCTCATCAACAGAAGCATGTCAGTTTCTGACAGTCATTTGAGTCAAAAGCTGACCTGAGATTGAGAAAAACAAGTATTGTTGGTCGTCGAAAGGAGAAACGACGTTCCAGCACTCACCGAAGGTGAAGATATGATCTATGTAAACCCGGCCATGGAGAAACCCAGCGTGATCCTCACGAATCTGACCTTACCAACGATGGATCAGTTTGTGTAGGATGATACCACAGGGCACCTCGGGGGCTATGGTCACTCGGCTATTACCACGGTGATTTTTGGATGATATTCTCGCACCGTTTCCAACATGTGAATTTCCGTCAAGGCTCTCCATTCGGTTGATGACCTCTACTCATTCTGTATAGTTAGGGTAAGTGTCGTCAGGTTGGCCATGACGGACTCGCAACGTTCTTTCAAGTGTGCAGAATGTAAATAATTTGAACGGAATGTTTTGTTGCGCTGGAGCAATTGAAGAGCTCACTGAACTTTGATTGTCGATAGCGGCCTGACATAGAGGTTCTGCTTAGATTGATTTAGTCCGTCCAGAGGGTAAGCTGATGGCAGTCAGCTAAATCATTTCTTAAGATGCCCAGATTATTGTTCAAGGTGACCTTTGTGCAACTGAACTAATGACTTAGCTTTTCGAAGAGAGAGTCAAAACCTCTCACCGTTTTCGGACCAGTTGAACGGATTAAATGAGACAGGATACAATTGTCACCTGTTTCAAGAGCTTTCTCCGTTTGCCAGAACTCTCCTTCAATACAAGAAATATTTATCATTTAGATTTTGACGTATCTGCGTGCTTCCATCACGGTCATCTGTTGTCAGTACAGCTTTCCTGGCTTCAATCAGGGCTGGTGATCATGACGGAACCTATTATTCACTGAGGTGTGCAAGCGTAGACATTTTCTCTCGTAATCACCGGAATCACCCTTAGCGCTTCACAGGCTTATCTTCCAATTCCTTTTGGTATTATTCAGCTTTTTAAGGAATGATCTCTATGGCTATGCATCAACCGGCATGTTCCTGAGGGTATAGAAACGCGTGCTCCCACAACGTTTTCACCGAAGTCCAGTGATGTACTCCAAAATAAATGACAATCTTGTGTCAAAGCTATCTACTTTTATCTGACTTCTACATGGTCCAGATGAATCCACAGCTGGCTTACCAATGATTTCATCCAAGTCATACAACATAAGCGCTTGTGCTGAAAAATGTTTAAAGTTGATTTTCAGCACATAGCTGAAGAAGACACTCCCAATTATCTGTGCGATTTGTCACCCAAATCGGCCGCTAAGACTTCATCAGGACTTGACTTAGTCGATCAACCTTAGCATTCATATAGACCTGCCAGAATCACGAGTTTGTCCTTCCCGTTGAGGAGAGCAACCGCCAAATACCACAAGTTGTCTTCCTCATCCTAAAAGCTATAGTCTGTCTGAGTAAATGCTGACAAAACAGACAAACACCGTTTATCAATTTGAGGTGCATTGATGTTGACTGGACAAATCTGCCTAACGGCTCAGAGCAAACTGTTTACTAAGACGCATTCGGCCCTACTGCTTAGCACAACACCGATACCGTACGATCACCAGAAAAACAGAGTGAAGTTCTAGTGATCGGGGTTTATCGCTAGTGAGGGAACTGGAGTCTTGAGTGCGTGGCTCCGAAAACACAACAAAGATCGATAAAAACAAGAGCTGACAAAGCGCTGCCTATTACCCATGTTTGCACAGAGTACTCACGTTGAAAGCCACAGCTTGAAGTAGATTCCGTGAATTTGATAACGGTTTATTGTGATATATTTCGCTGGACGGGATCTTTGGCACGAAGCTACGATTAGGTGATTGACGGCTAAATGGGCGAAAATTTCTTGAATAAGTAACCTATGGGAAGGAATAAGTGAATAAAGGTGTGGAACGGCGAATGATACTCCCCGGTTGTCGAGGCCGAAGAAGGGGCTTCTGTTGAGATACTCCACCTTTGAATCAAAAGTCTGGCCCAAAAGCCTGTGGGAGAATCTAGATTTTTGTTCCATGACGGTGGTTACTGAGGTCTTCTTGGTGGACCCTTCCTGACTCACTTAGCTGCAGGCGTCTAGTTTGGCCCGAGGGTGCAGTGATTATTGTATGATTGTTTAACTCTCAATGAAACTGAATACGACAGCACCCGAATTTAGTTTAAAAATCATTTCGACCATACTGAATAATGTGCCGGCAGCCATGGCCAACCTTTCGACTTTCAGAGTGCGCGGTTTTTAGGGTAGACCTTGTTGAACCTCTCCCCCTTCGGTGGAAGGCAACATCGCAGCTTCCATAAATATAGACAGGTTGGTTGCCTAAGAGAAACGCATTCCTGCCCTTGCGCTCGTATCATGGAGTTTAGTATGATTTTACTTCCAGGCGGAAAACCTCAAGTATGTTTTAAGAGTTCTCGTCGAGTAAGCGTTCATTCGTTTGACCAAGAGTTTCCATTCTCAGTACTACAGCGGTGGGATGAAGGAACTCAGCCGGCGCCGCAGGCGGAGGCTGGCAGCAAGGTGGTCTGATGGGCTGTCTATGCTTACCGACGTTTGCTACCAAATTATTTTTCACTCACTGTGAACGTTACTTCTACGTAATCACTGTATTACATCGTACACCGCTATCTTGTATTCCTAGAATATGTTGAAGATAGTGTTGCCAGAATTTTTTTCTGGGATATCCCGCTGTTGAGGCTGTTAGCCATGGTAACTATGTTCTTTACGACAGGCCGGATTTCCACCTGGTAATGTCACTAATTATGAGGTGGAAAAACCGATACTTACCGCAGTCGGGAACTGTATATTGCACTATATCAATGAAAATAGGTAGAAAGATTACCCTGGCCCTCTAGCCAGGAAATATCGGACGAATATACTTAGTGTAGAAAACAATATAGTTCGTCATCACCTAACAAGATTCAATCCATCACGAGGCCAATTAGGTATGTTTCTCATAACCTTAGTTAATTTATGGAAGGTTTCTGGATATTGAAGTCTGAAACTCAATAATCCAAACATCTTTTTTAACTATTCCACACTAAACTGCGTAATTCCTGGTTGAAAATACGCACCATCCTCCCATGGATCTTCGCAAATCGAAACTGCAATTTTAAGTGTGACTATGATAATTGACCAGCGGTCTAACTGAATGTTTTGTCGGGTTACTCAATTATGGGCACCAGCTCACAGGGGACGAGAGCATATATTTCCCTTTAGATCTGTTCAGCTACCCATCGGACGATTCAGGCAGGCAGAAAAGTGTGTCCCCAGAGTATCGCACGAATCCCGAGAAAAAAGCCAAAAACACCATAAACCTTTACAAAAAGTGGACGGCGATTAACTCTGTAGAAGAAGCTGGCACCAGAGCTTCAAGAATTTACGCACTATATTGAATATAAAAAATATTCCCGTGGACACCGCCATTAGTATCCCCAGACATTGTTGCTCAAGCAAATGTTGCCACGAAGAAACTGAAGCAATCGAGCGCGCACCATCATATTACCGTTTAAGGAAAGGATATCAGTTTTCAACATTACAGACTAATGACTCAAGTTCCACCGTGAAACTGAAGAATTAACTGTACTATGTGGATCAAAGTAACAGTAAAAATGGGGCAATTTACAGGACTCAAATGAATGTATGCTTCAGACTCAACTCGCCCCAGGAAACAGAATAGTTTTCAAGTTAATTTTGTCAGCAGTCACAATCCAAGAATTATCAAATTGATTTGTGTGACTACAGAATATCGGAGTGGCCGCGCAAGTGACCACAGAACAAAAATTGGACGTTGCGGTACTTGACAAGTGTAGTGTTTTCACAGCGAAGACCCCATTAGAAACAAGTGCAAGAGCTAGAAATGTGTACAGAATAGCTCAGTTTGAAATCACGTATGCCAGGAAGTTAACCGGTAAATGGCTGTGAATCCACATTTTATACCAAAATGCGCTTCATATGACACTTAAATATCGTTTTTACTATAGACACAGATAACTCGTGAAAAATTCGTCTTTATATGTCATATTACATGCCAGTATCAGCAAAGCTGCTTTCATTTTTATCAACGCAGCATACAAAGTATAGTTCGCAATACTTTATGACACTATAATTTACGGGTAATTTCATCGCCATTCTAATTCTCATGGTCAGTTACATTCTAAATCATTTTAAAAAAATCCACACGGTTTCACTTTACTTGTATCCGGTGTCCACTGGATTGAAAGACAACGCCTTTGAGATATTTCTACATTATCTGCTTTATCTGTAAACAGCAGATTTAAGCATCCGACCTTCATGGTCGGATAACCTTTTTTAAGTAAAATTAAGAGTAAATAACAAATGCTGTTGATTCTTGTGTAGATTTTATCACCTCCCCAACTTGTGCATCCTCAGAGATGTATAGCGCAATGCACCAAGCTGGAACGGTGAAAAAAATGCTCAAATTCTAACGATCCAGCCTGGGCAGTGCCTTGGATTTGCAAATGCTAGAACCCCATTCCAGATTTTCGGAAAATACTTGGAAAAAACCCCTTACAGAAACAATGATCCATTGTCACTTAAGATGAACTATCTTCTTTCAGCAATACTTATTGAGCATGCATATATATTTGACGGTAAAAGGTGCATCAAGGACCGTTAGAAATTTACGAAAATCTAGATTTCGGAACGAAATATGCTCCTTTGTTTTTCCAACAAGCAACATAGTCTAATGGATTACTCCCTTGTCGTCGTCCCTACCTTGTAAGAGGAACATAAAACATGCTAATTGGAGCGGAGCAACGCATAAATTGATGTGATTTACCGAACCAAACTCAGAGTCACTGTCTCAACTTAACTATGAATAGTGGTCTTCAGAGGTCTGATACATCCAAGATCGCACAACTAAAGCTTTACCAACAAACTCTTGACTCAGTACTTCCTGGGCTAGTGAACCACTGGACATCGCTTGCCCCAGTGAATATGTCATGTGGGCTTCGCCAAATGTGCTGGGACGTAAGACGAAGAGCTCCCCAACAGACGAAATTATTGGCTAGCCAAAATGGACAGTGGGAGGCCTACTGGCTCACTGTCATTCCTATTTGAAGCTCTAGGTAGTCAGAAATGCAGTAGACTTGATTTTCACAGTATTTTGCACTCACTTTTTTTTCCATCGTAACTTAGGACTGCAGTAGCGTACACAATAAAGAACAGATCACAATTCTTTAGGCTTCAAGATAGTCTATTATAAACAATCTTTTACTGATTCACGTCAAAGCAGTTTGTTTTTATTTAAACCAGCCAGAGTTAGTTCAGCTGCAAAAAATATAAAGTGCATCTGGAGGATGGTTTATTTGATGAGATAATGAGTTGACTGATTAGCTAAGCATTCAGCGGTGGGTCCGACGAGAAAAGTAGTCACCAAACCATCAGTCCTGCAGCTAAGTGACAAACATAAATAAAAAAACATGAACAGTCAACTGATGATTAATCATGCAATGTTTGCAAGGATGGCCATTGAAGAAAAACGTACTTTTCGTTAGGTGGTAACTTAGTTCTACAAAGGGAAATTTGGTTTGACACGCCAAACAACTGGATTAAGATTGAGAACAACGAATGAAAGAAGATACATACCATTCATGATGCATGAGTCGGAACAAAATAAGCTATGTCTGGAATGCTGAAATAGATTTCTTTTCCAAGTCATCATATACGATTCCGGCAATAACCAGCGCTTCGGCTAACTCTTGACGTATGGAGATTACTCAACGTACTTAAGCGTTGGTGGCAATATTCCCTTAAAAGCGACGATCAGCTAAACGTCTATTTCAGTGTCAAATCAACAGCCACACGAAACTTAGAGGATGTATTTGGTGTACGAAATAACTATGATGTCGGACCATCGCAAATACAGTTCGGGACAAAACAGTGTCTGGAAGGACACCGTTAACTAAGCGAGGAGCAGTAGTCGCAGGCTACCCGTTACAGAATTACCGCCAGCAAGGCATCAGACATACAAGGTGAATAGAATAAAAACATATTTCGGGTGGGGGGGGGCGAGAAATTCCAAACTGGACCTTGATCCGGGGTTAGAAACAGTTTCGAACAAACACGAACAAGAGGTAGGCGAAAGCTTGTGTGATGAGGGAGCTTGGATAACTCCTGAACACCATTGTTGAAGACTTGACAACTCACAGAACCCAAATCTTTGATTCATCTCGTGTCTTATAGGTCTTGTTTCAAGGTGGAAGTTTCAGAGCATACAATGGAGAAGCAGCACATACAGTGCAAAAGAAGTGTTTTAATTTTTCATCTTATAGACAGGTGTCACGACAGAGATAACTACCGGAGTTGGTAATAGGCCAGCCGTCAAACTGGTGAAAGATGTTTTAATAAGTGGTATAAAGTCCTCACTAAAAAATATACGGTGATAGCGTACGAAAAGGGAGGCCTGTCGAAAAAAGGGATTCCATTAATTTCCTTGGCTGATATTGTACAGCATGGACCATGCGAGTTCCACGACTGTAGTGGCAGTTGTGGGGCTGTTCACTGGGAAAATTTCGGCCATTTGGTTGTAAGCATCGACCACGACCTAAAAGTGTTGACCACACACTGGACCTGCGTAATTCATGTGAAGACGAAACCAGGGTTCGTTCGGCTGTGACCACGACTGTAGATAGGTTTTCATGAGTGACTTCTAGGCCTCACACCACGCAAACAAGATTTTGAGACCTGTTCCATCAAAGGCCAGTAGACTTAACTCGGAGCCAGGGACTTCATCCTGTTTGTTCCCAAACGACGTTTATAAAACTGATCCAGGACTGCTGACTGTAACTTCTCTGGGATGACAACGCGTTTTGAAAACAAAAGCGTCCTTCGGCTAGTGAGAGTGTGTCACTCCGATTGAAATAAGTTCTCTGTTCGTCTTTCGGGCAGGTACGCAGCCACTGATTGCGGTAGTACATAATGATCTGTTGCAACTCAGCGTCTGGGTCGGTAGCCTGGTGGATCATGTCGGGCGTCACTGCGAGAATGTGAACAGTTTCGGATGCTACGTGGTTAACCTCTGGTTAGCCTCTGGTTCCACGGCAATTGTGGCGACAGTGCGCTGGCTTATCCGAGGCTGGTGGTAGACTGGTATTGATCTTGAAGTCATATTCCAGTGGTCCATCGCGGTTGGCACTACATGCCATGGTTCCTTTCTTTGAGACAAACACAGCGGGGAGTGGCTTCTGATCGTTCAGTAGGGTAAACTGACAGCTTTAGAGCATCAGCTGAGCATTTTTAGCGGTAAACGTGATTGCCAAAACTTTTTTATCTGGCTTTAGTTGCGCTCGGCTGATATCAGGGAGCTGGCCGCATGTGCAATTGCTTTTTGGCTACTGTCGGGAAGTGCATGTGGAATCATTGCGCCGATTCTATAGTTTGAAACATTCGGCCACCACAACGATTCACAGCGACGGACCGTAGTAAGTGAGTAGCGATTCAGAACTCAACATGGATTTGACAGAGTCGAAAACGAGTTGGTATTATTTCGGGCTGTGTCCACTTGTGCTCTTTGAAAATAAACTGGTTTAATTGGCCTCAGAAGCGATTTCTGGCAGGCAGAAACGAACTGTAGTGACTGATGAGACTGAGAAAATACTTGAGGAACGTCATGTCCGTGGGTACTGGCATACGGCGTCGATGTTTTCCGGGTCTGGTTGGAGGCCGTGTTGGTCAATGATGAAACCAACGTAATTTATCGACCGCATAAAGAAGGTGCATTTCTCTCAGCGCTTTCTGAAGCCGGATTCTAGAATACGACCAAGCACTTAATCAAGACGCTGCCATAA